CGACGTCGGCGGAAAGGTTAGCTGTATTAAAGACGTTACAGCCCGAACGGCGGACTTCATCGTGGAGTGTTCGTGCGACCGGATAGTGTGGAAGAAATGCCGGCTGGAAGAGGAGAGTTTCGGAGTATTGGTTACTCAAGAATCACTCAGCGTGCAGTCACATCATCAGATCGAAATGCAGCTTTGGGATGTGTTCGAGCGCAATGTGTCCGGACAGTTACGGGATCGGCAGGCCCTTCAGAAATGGATCACCGAATGGTTCAGCATACAGACATATGTTAGCTCTATCTATCAGGAGCTGATTTTGAAGGTGAGTAGTTCGTCTGTTGAGACAGTTCAGTCTCGCCCACTCTCGACACCCATTACACCGATGGAACGATTTTTTATGCCAACTTATCGCTGAATGCTTGATCATTTTCTAATTTGCATGAAAACAAACGGATATCATACAAAACGTAACGTACATCGTATTTATATTTACACTGGACCAGGTTTGGCGTTCTTTTGAAGTTTTGAAGTGGATTTGGAAAATTCATTTCAAAATTTGAAGACATGGTTCGGTGTAAAAAAACACGTTTTGATGCAATATTTGAAGAGGATTGGTCCATTATGAAACTTTAGTACACCTGGCATCGATATTCCACTGCTTTTGGGATTTTATGTCTCCCATGTCCCCAGCCAGATATTGCGCGCCCAAACGGTTTCCACGCCAATGCGCTATGTAACACAAATTTGTAGTACACAAATCAATTTTAAAACGATGCTCTTTGCGCATCTCAAGTGGAACTGCTTATACAGCGCTTCCAGGGGGAGCAGTCGACTGTTCAGGTTGGAAAAGGAAGCAAGGTCACGAAGCAGCTGTGATCACGATTACCAGAATCGAGAAACACCAGTCCATTATGCGGCCAGACTGCAAGTTTAGTTTATTAGAGCGTGTTCCCGTAAGAACGGAAGAAGAAACAAAATTGAAATCAGGTTTAGAAACAGAATGGACAGCTTACGATAATGTGTCCAGTCATGCTACACTCATGGCAAGCTGGTCAGAACAGGTAGTTACACACGGTGAACCGCTTAGACAACACTCATCCGCTTTAATACGACTTAGCAACTTAATATTCTAAAGCAATACCAAAAGTGACTGAGAGTGCGCGAAACGGAGAAAATATAATATAAAAAATGTCCCAGTTTGTACAAGATGTACAGGGTCACTCCTTAAAGCGGGCAACAGGCCTTGCGACTGAGACTTTGCAAGATATCGTCGAGGGCGGGGAACGAAGCAATCTGGATTAAGCGGCTCGAATTGCGGGGAGAGCTTCACATCCGAGCTGTCCACCGTTAAAGCACATAAGAAATAAATCTCCAAACTAACTTGCAGGTGCTGAACGAATATCAGAATGCCGATCCCCGCGTGTCCACGCACTACCGCCAGCGGGAGTGGACGGCCGCCAATATCGCCGATCTGGATGCCGGTCAGCTGACCGCACTGACGGTGGCTGTTTTGAGCAAATACTGTACATAATCAGTGTGCAGTGTGCACATTAGGTGTTTCAACCGCTAAACTGTTCAGTTTTGATAAGAGTTTTCGTTTATACCATTTCCGCCATGCTGTCTGCCGCACCTTCGCGTTAAAGTCGTGAAGGCTTTCCGTAGGTGTTCTATGGATTTTCTTTTTTTTCTCAGAAACGACATCTTGATATTTAACCGTAGTACCATATAGCAATCACTGAGCGATGTAAACGCCTGTTTTGTGACCTAAATTAAGTTGCCTCGGTTTGTACGAGTAAGTAAAGCAATTACGATAAAACGTTTTGAAAGGAAGTTCTTGGACAATTTGTTGTACTTTGGCTAATCACAAGTGTCTTAGGGCAAAAAGAACCGTTATTGAATTGGGCACTTAGGATAGATTAATAGTTATAAACCACTTTATTCCCATAGATTTTTCTGACAGGGGCAAATCCTGCGTTGTACTCGTATCATATGATTAACCTATGAAACAGTCAAAACAAGGCAGTGAAGGCACATAGCGACCGCGGCGGCGCTCAGTGAAAGCATCGACCTGTGCTATTAGTTTTATTATGCCTTTAATTTCTGGAAGATATCACAGGTATTTTGGATGACCGTGATCACTCTTGTTTACAAGCAACTGCGCTTATGATTATTGCTTGTCTTTTGTACATTGTACTATTGGTTTGAGAACGAAACCGTATCGGATAAGAAGCGTATTATGAACTTTTGTCACAAGATACATTTTTTTCTAGGTTATTTCTTACAGAATTTTTGGACTTTCGACCACGTGCGAACAACGAGCTTTTCAGAAACTTATCGCACCGGTAAATTAAGGCCTATAACGGGTACCGGCTTTCTTCTGGGTAATTCAGAATACTGTAATAACACGGATAAAGCTGTACGTGCGAATGTTTATTCCTGTTTGCCTGCCATTTAAACAGCTTCTGCCAAGCTACAACATAAAATGGATGCGAGTATTATTGCCAAAAAAAACTAGGCATGAAGAAAAAAGCAGCATATAAAAAAATTCATATCGGTATGGGAACCGGTTTGATCGTTGTCAGTAAAGTAAATGTACAAGTAAATTAATTCGATTGCATGCCAGTTTGAAAGCCCATGCGGCTCACTTGGGTCAGCCTAATCTGAGAAGTGCCAAATTACTATAAAATATACAGTACGTATTATCCGATTATCCGTTAGCAAAATATTAATAACATGCGTAATATATCCTCACCAGGGCATATTTTCCGGGTCCAAATTCAGAAAAATCTGATCTTTGGCCGAAACATAGTATACTATCGTAGTATATTAAAAAAAATAATTTCAGCTGCTGACACTCAAAGGGCGTGGTCAAACAAAATTAATAAGTTAGTAATACTGCATGTTATTACAATGCACTAGCGCAATACCCGCACAGCTTTTAATAAAATAACAGCATATCAGGAAAGTTTCACCTCTTGCAGAAACGTAGCATTTTGCCACATTATGGTTGATGAAAAATGTCATGTACGAAAGTTAAGACGACACAGTAGAAAAACCATTTTGTAGCTGCGATTCTTTGCGGTAGTGCAACAGTACGTACCACTGTATTTGGATTCTGGATTTTGCTAATTTCCTCATTGTATGCAGTGTGCTCCCGAAACTTGTTAAATATTAAAGTTAATTTTTTAAGCGTGCTATAGTCGTACACTGTCATTCGGCAAAAGATGAGTTCCTGATTTATTGTTATTACACTGATACAAACAGCCGATCGAGTACAACACGCAATAGTATGTACTATTGCTTACTTATTAATTTTGTTTGGCCACGCCCTTTGAGTGTCAGCAGCTGAAATTATTTGTTTTAATATACGACGATGGTATACTATGTTTCTGCCAAAGATCAAATTTTTCTGAATTTGGACCCGGAGAATGTGACCTGGTCAGTGCGAACGGTCTTTAGTAAAGAATTACACTTGTTCGCGGGATATGGATATGATATTTGGATATTTGAGCTCTGGATACACTTTTGGATATTGAATATTGCCATCCTCAGTCTGTACTATTACAGACACCGGTATTCACTGAAAGTGAATTAGGGGGCCTAATTTTAATAATTATCATGGAGGACTTCGTAACAAATAAAGCCGGTTATACTCGATCGTACAAATATGTAGGATAATAATTTACTAAAGTCTTCCTACTATAATACAACGCAGTTGTTCTGATTCTGCTTCAGACTACTGTGTTTATTTACCAGTGCTCGCATTCTGTTGGGAGTGTCCTGATTTCAGCAGCGAATTCTGATATATGCAGATTTTCTATTATCAAAATTTAAAAAAACAGCACGCTACATCATATTCTCTGTTAGCAACGACAGTTTTAACAGGCCAAATAATCAGTTGAATTTTATTGTGGTCTAATTGACGCTTCCAGGCCTTACCAAAGCCAGCCGGCAACACGTGCCAAAAATAATGGACACCGGTACCGTAAATCATCAATTAAAGCATAAGGAACCAAAGTCGCGATGTGGCCAACACGTTGCCAAATATCTTGAATTACAGAAAACGACTGACAAGATTCAATTACAGTGAATATCGGCGCCGTCAAGTGAGCGACCAACCTGACTACTTTCTCAAAAGTTTTTGTGGGTGTGGCAGACATAATACGGCATCAGATACCGGGGAAAAAAATACTGTATAGTATTCGCCGTATAATTTTCTGTCGGCAGTGGCTTCCTTGTTTGACTATATTTCCACTGAAATCTCGTTATTATTGAAATACTGTATTGTACTTCGAATAAAACTTTCATTAGGCCATTAGGCTGTTACCGCCGGCCACAAAATGAAATTAGTTCCTTTTTCTTGTTGCTTTTTTTTTCGCAGTACATTTCATCAGCAATCTTGGCTCATAGAAAAATACAACCACGTGAAGAAGTTATCCGAGTAAGCATTTTCGGAAATCAGCGAGGAGGAAAGTTCCGGCATATTCACAACGCTTAAGGCAAGCAGATTTCAAGCGCAGCGGTTTTACGAACTCCGCAAAGCACGACTAAACCATGGACTAGTGTTTCGTTGAAGAATTCAGTAAAATACATCAAGCTCGATTAATAATCCAGAGAAACCAGTAGATATTGCGGTGATGTATCCATCCAGATGACCTTCACAACTCATCCTGTAAAAAAACGATTATGATATCAAAATGCTTAATAAATGTGCGGCTTCGCTGTTTCTTGCTACCGTCATATATTTACTTCACCATGCTCCGCTAGCAAAACCAATTAATCAAGAAAATTTATCAATTAATAAAGTAAAAATGAAATGACAAATCTATATATAATAAAATAGTGCATCAAATAAATAAAATAATTATTTTATATTCGACCAAACCTATCCACTATATATAATTTATTTATGATTTATTATAAATCACTAATAAAAATAAAAAATTGTGGCGTATGTGAATAAGTTTTATTAAATTTTTGTACCGGCACGGGGTTATTGTTATATTGCCGAATAAAACAAAAATTAATCGACATGGATAAGGTTCTGACCTTTATTTGCCGGCAAACTGGAGGATGTGCTGTTTGCAAGGTCCGTTGCACCAGCAGTTACCAGCGACGGTCATCTTGCCGAAGAGCTTCTTGGCATTGTGGCAGGTACCGCTGGGGATTCCCTGTTCAGCCAGGCAGAAGCCGTTGCATCCGAAATCCGTGCACTCCCCAATGTTGCTGCTAATCTCGCACTTATCCTTGGGCACACCGGGCGAATTGCCGCCGATCAGGCCTTGGATGCTGGGCTGGACGAAAACAGCCAGGACGAGGGCGGACACGAGGAAATAGCAGTTCATGGTGATGCCGGTTGTGGGACGTTGGAAAACTGATATGTGTTAAATCGAGCAACTGAATATTAACGTTACCGGCAGAAATTTATATACGGATCAGTCGCGATTCGTTCAAAATGGCTGCAGGCCGAAAGCGTTCCTGTTCATCGTGAAATTGCAGTTGTTAATCTTCCATATGACAAGGTTGTGCAACAGTTGGCGGAAATTTGGGCGTAACAACGCTCTCATGCCTTTCAGATTTATATGTCTTTTCTGATTAATTGCTTTTTGCAGCCAAGCCTGTAATTAACCGGCCACTTCCACATATTATGATCACAGAAAAACATTTTAGTATGCTAGGCTAGTTAACGCGCCGCACCCTGCTAAAACACACAAAAAACGTGTACTTTTAATGGAACACGTCTGAGAATTGCTGTTGGCTGTTATGGGCATACCGATGTAAAGTAAGAGACCAGTCGGTTTGGCAGCTTTACCGTATTTTTATTGATAATTTATGCGGATCGGCTTATTATTCTGCCAATTATTCTGTATCGGAAAGAGGCTGGATGAAGTGTATTGTGTTGAAATAATGTACTGCGTAATTTGGCGTTTAACCAATGTTGATCTGTATTAACTCAATAAAGGCCCCTTCTGCCAGTTTTTAATAATTTGATTTATTAATAATATTTATTACTATTTTGGATAGTATTTTCAATTTTTCAATAATATTTAGCGATATTTGGAATACTATTTTCAATTTTGTTTCTTTCGCGTCTGTTCTATTTTTAATTATTTTACGTCAATAGTTAATAAGAACAGGCGAAAGTCACTTTTTTGAAAGGCGAAAGTTCACTACACTTTTTTGTTTCAACGTTTAAGTTTGGAAATAATACGCGGTGATGTTACGTGTGTTGGGTACGGTGACACAGTCCTGCGTCTTGTAACTTCTTCATCTGATTGTATTTCCTGAATGATGCTCCACTTGTACGTATTGTCAGCAAATTATAAATCTAATCATACAAACAAATTTATAATGATTAGTGAGTGATTACCCCGGAACCAATTTCATATTTCACTTAATTAATTATTTTTACTTAATTCACATTTAATTAAACATGTTTTTGTTACAAACTTATGATGTGAATGGCTTGGGCTAACAAAATAGGATTTCACGTTAATAATAATCAGTACGTGAAAGTTGTGCAGATTCTAGGGACGAATTTATGCGGAGTTCACTAATATTTTACGCTGATAGTTCACGAATTCATGTAATGAATTTTCTTAAATGTAACTATGTAAGAGAAGTCAAACCTGTTTTTCCACCCATTCGAATAGGTAGTTTATTTTTTACCGGGATGGATTTAGCCAGTTAGGGAACTGGAAAATAATTACAATACGCTCTTCAAGGCGTCGCAGGTGTTTGTTTTCTTACGATGGAAGGTTAACAGCGACACCTCGCGTCGCTGGGAGCAAATTAATTTTTTCAAGCCAAAAAAGCGATGACTCATCCCGTCAAGTAACAGAAAAAACGTACAACAAGCATAAGCAACGGATCAGCATCGAAATCCAACTAGGAAATGCGGCATCGATCTTGGGGACAGCGCCGATAGGGGCAAATTTAGACCAAATTTTCTCTGTGATTAATCCGCCTCTGTCGATTGATGCTTAACGTGATCGTTTCTGAGGTTATTCGAAATTTTACTGTGAACTTGGCAGCATTATAATTAAATTTCATTTTTAGCATAAGCAATAATTGGTATACATGCATTATATTCGTAGCTGTACATATTGTCATATATTGTCATATAGATACATACAATGTCATACTAGTAAGACATACTGTGATGTACGAGTGTACGTACACGAGATTCTCGAGATTCTGCAATGTTACCTACCTAGCAACGCTATGATGTACTGGCTGCAGTTACTACGGTTCATGTTCAGTTGCGAGAATATGTCGAGCTACAATAAAGATGCGATACTTCCCGATACACGATACATACTGCGTACTTTCACATACACTACACGTACGACGTGTACATACACGAGATTCTCGAGATTCTGGTGTATGTACACGTCGTACGTACACTCGTACATCACACATACTATTTAGACCAAGCATTTTTATTGCATTTCCGGCATCGATTTTTCGTTACATTAGACACAACTGGTAGTTCACATGCTTAATGAGTGATAGTTTCCGAAGCTTTTGTTAAAAGTACTCGTGTAGTAATTTGTAATAGTGAAATGAGTAGATACAAAATCGTAATACATAATACAAGAGTACATACCGGCACTTATCTGTACAGTGTACGCGGTACTTTTATCCGTACAAGTACATTCACTGCGCACCTGTACAATTTTGTATGCATGACACGTTGCATGTACTGCGTTTTATTCTACCTGTGTTACAACGTAATTTATATAGCAAATGAAAACATCAAAGTTTTTTATAACATCAAAATTTCATTCCATGTACTTGTTTATGAATATGTAGAACTAAAACTCCTGCTAACTGTTATTCCAAAACCACAATCGTACGTATGTTCTCAGATGTACAGCGGACGCCACAAAGATGTTACACTTGCGCACACGCCAACGCCTGCTCCAGAAGCGCCAACAATGCCCTCTCGAAGTTTTTCTCCGCCCGCCTGCTAACCGCCAGCTGCGAGAGCGCCATCGGTTCTTTACCGATGATCCGGCACTGCTTCCGCACCATGCGCTCGCACCGGTGACGGAATATAGCAGTACCGTAGCGATACGTACGTAAAGTGACGGCTTTACTCGTACTTTCTATTATTCGCTGTACCTTCTCGATCGTTCTCTTTAATGTTCGGATTTACTTTTGGTTGTTTCTACACGGATGCGCCGTGTCTATATAAGTCCGTGAGTGGCAGTATTTTACAGGATGAGTTCTCTCATTACGAGTTTTGGCAGTTTCGGAGTTTAGGAATTAAATTATCGTCGGAGATGCAGTTCTCGTCATGTAGATTCGTAGACTTAGCTATGCCACATTGAGATATCAGCTCATACTCTGTCGTTGAAGTAGGTCGGTAGGATAGATTATTACGGTAATTATTCCTATCGTACTGATCTCTCCGTCATGGCGCCCACCGATGTTCGAACCTTTCCGATGGCTAGCTAAGTAAACTGTGATTGAAATTGTGATTGTGAATGTTGGCTTCTAGAAAGTGCTCAGTCCGGGTATAACTGTACTGACTGGACGGATGTCCGGGCAGCTGGTCTGCCGTCTGGACGCCTTAAACATTAGTAGTCCGGGTACTGGCGACGCGTTAGTGAAGGGGAACCCTGCTGATCCGTGCCTGCGACCCACGACGAAAACCTGTAAATGTCCGGGGGCTTTGCCCTGTCTGGACGCTGAGCAGTTTGTCCTGCCAGCAGGGCGATGCAGGGATAACCTGTAGATCGACCCATGAGCACTAAAGTGAAATGAAATGACGAATATGAATTGAAATGACGAAAGGAATTGATGAATTGAGTCTGAAGCAGGTACTCGTAGCTACCGGCCGGAGCACGAGTTCTCTAGAAAAGTCTAAAGCGTAGCAGATGTAACTGGACTGCAAGTAGACAGAGTTCGAAAGCAGTTTCCTTGAGCTAAAGTTTTGTTTGCCAGAGCAGTGCCTGTGCATTCAAAGTGTCGACACATCTTGAGCTTAAGTTCTGTATGTGAGAGCAAAAAGCCAAGCATACAGGTGCACCAAAATCTTAGCGTAGCGTAGCCATACAGCCAGAGCAATTGCGAGCGCTGTGAGCGGTGAGAGAACACCGGAAATCATAATCTCAAACTGAAAATCTAAAGTATCCGGGTGAGAACAAAAGAGTCAGCCCGGTAGTCAGTGTAACGAACACTGAAAACAAAAGCGTAGCTGAAGTTTCCGCGTAGAATCCGCGTAGAACAAAGCCTACCGGATAAAATTAAAGCCAGTGCAATGGACACTGATAACTGGAAAAGAATGGAAAGTGATGTCAACTGCATACGATAATGCAGCAGCGAAATGAAAATGAATGTACTGATTCATGTATGAATGAAAATGCCGTACAATTTGGTGTTATTGCTGAAGACGAAGAATTGTGGCACGATATGCACCCGTTACAGTCAGAATTGATTGAATGTTCGCTTAACCAAAACAGATTCGAAGCAGCAGTGGAAAACTGGGAAATCAGAATTGAAGAAGAATTCAATGTCGATGAACTGAAAGAGATAGCTTGGGCATCTCTATATGCCGCGCTTGCACTTCAAAGGAGGTACAGCAACGCGAACCGTATATGTTATGCGTTAAACAGTCGCAGCACAGATATGGAAATTGAAAACAGTGCGCTGAACGCTGAATTGAATAAACTGCGCAATAAAACTGAAAGATTTGAAAACGAATGTTGCGTTGAAAGAACACGAGCCGATAAACTGATGAAACGTCAGTTAGCTTTAATGGCAAAAATGGAAGAAATGCAGCGAAACGCCTATAACCAGCGAAAAAATACAGTACCCGCAAGTGTATGAAGGTACACAGGGAAGCGGTAAAGTGGAACGGTTCGTTATGGACTGTGAAAGGTGTAAAGATTTAAATGACTGGACTGACAAACAGTTAATTGAAAAAGGACTGTCATATGCATTGAAAGGCGATGCCTATTTATGGTACGCGGAAAATAAAAAACTGAATCCAGATAAAGACTGGATTTACTGGAAGGCGGTACTAATCAATCACTTCTCATCGGAGAGTGACCCGGCCGAAATACGGCAGGCGATGTACGCCCGTGTCTTCAAAGAGGAAGACACGGTAAATTCGTATGTTGATGGGTATTTAAATTGGTTTAATTCGCTGAATACGAAAGAGGAAGAACGAGTATCAGTTCTCGTTCAAGGACAGAAGAAAACCCGAATGGAATGGTATGGCAAGCTGGTTATGTCAAAACCGAAAAACGTTGAAGACGTAATGGCACAACTGAAAACGTTGTACTCATTGAAAGTACAAAAGGAAATGTACGAACATAACGACTACTGTGAAGATGATGATGACTGCGAAAATGTTTGTGATGATTACGAAACTGGAAGTTTAAATGATGACGAATGTGAGTACGACGAAGAGTATGAAAGTTACAGTAATCGCGGTAAAAAGCCGTACATGATTAGAAATTGATGTTAGTAAATGGCGTACTGATAGCGGTCAGCCGATCTGCTTTAAGTGCCACGAGTTGCACCCAGCAAAATAATGTACATTTGAAGGCAGATGGAAAGACGTGTCAAAAGAGCCGCCTGCTGAAGTGTTACAACGTTACAATATGAAATGTGCGGAAGCGCGTTCACTCGAAATTTGTACTGTACAGTGTTCAAAAATAACCGAAAATGT